ACTTTTCCTACGGGAAGCGCTGCCAAAATTTTCTTAGTTTAGAGGAGATAGATTATATTTTGATAGGTGATTCAGGCGATCCACCCAGAATAGGGGAGACTTTGCAGTTGGTCTACCTTCAGCTTAAGCACTGACTTAAAAGTAGACTTAGATTTAGCTTATAGAAKRATTTTTGAGTGAGGATGTATTATGGAGTTGTATTCTCCATACACTTATGATCTTAGCTTGRGGATTGGTCTGCCGTGTGTTACAKGTYCTTTTTKATCATTTTATCCAAGTTCAGGGCTAGATCCAGCTTGATCCYTTGAGGATCACTTAMTGTTATCACTGATAACAGGTCGGTTGYCGATTCGTCGGTCTACGACTCAATTTCAACTCTCCCTCTACRCTCAACCTAAAAGGCTTTAGCCCTGGTGATTTCGTTGTTTTATTAAGGTTTCACCCGGACTTTTATTGAATGGTCATTTAACAAAGGTGTTGAGTATTTAATTAAGGTTGGTTGGACAAGAGGTTGGGGCTTGCATGGCTAAAGCGAGGGGTATGAGTGTCGAAGGTGGTTGGGGTTGACTCCGTGGAGTGTGTGGGCTGTTGATTTGGTTCGTTGATGTGATGGCAGGTATGTGCTGTGAATCAGATTCTGGATTTGGTTGCCTACAATCACACATATACGTATTATTGTGAGAGACCCCAGCGAAAACATGAGAAGTGATCGTCACATACTTAACCCTTATATATGTATACATGGGTACACTTTGGATGAATGTTTGTATGGGTCGAAGAGCCCCTACGTTAGAGCCCGCTCAGAAGCTAAGACTGAGGGGCTTAGGGGAGGTCTCTCCTTTTATTCTTGTCTCTTGCTTTTTGATGATTTTCTTAGTCGGGCGTTTGGTCCTGGGTCGGGATTCGAGGTCCTTGTCCAGGAAATCCCAAGCCCTAGGCTCTGTAGGGGAGGGGTTTTCCCTCGCGAAGAGCCTATTTGATTTACCTACCGAGACACTCAGGTCGAGAGTCTAAGGTGCAGCAACGGCTGCACGACTTTTCCTTCAGCCGTGCAATGTGGTGAAGGGTCAGAACCTCACGACACTTCAAGTCTGACAGTTGAGTGTAATAAGCGGTACTCGGATCCATGAGGGACCGCTTGATTATGGACACTACATAGTACGTCGTCGTTGCGACTGTTTGTGTATGCCTGCATTGCCAGTCGATGTGAGTATGCCCTGCGTCCGCGCGGTTTTATACTAAGTTCAGCGCGCGACTCCTATCCGATTTCCGCACTGGAAAGTTATGGGTTGGCTACCGAGGGGCTAGGAGCGTTGTCGCGTTGTTGGTATTGTGTCGTTTCGTATATATGTTGTTTTGTGTGTATGTGTGTTCGTAAAGTGGAGTGCGCGTGGTGTGTGGGATGCGTCCTAGTCGACCGACGATGAGTCGCGCTTGGGACCTCAGCCCCCCCAAGATGTAGGTTCGCGTGCGGGTCCGATAGAGGCGTATTACCGCGCGTACCCCCTATGCTACAGCGAACGAGAAACGCCCTCGGTTGGTCCACCTCTACGATTGCAACTGATTAGCTTTTGTACTGTGGACTGGTAGCTCGGCGGGGATACGCCCACCGAAGGGAGGTGACAGCTCCCGTAAGGTGTAGGTAAGTCGTGCCTCGCGTAGGCCCTATCCTGTTGTAGGGGCTCGCGAGAGGTATGGCTGGCGCACCCGGCCGGAGCGGCTTGTGGAAATTCCATGTATATTGCGACGAAGAGTTCTAAAAATCAACTCCTGCGTGATGCGGCCAGGAGGGTCCCGCGCTGCCCCCGTGCGGTGCCGGACCGATGCGCCCGACAATGTGTACTCGTTATTTTTTGTAAATAGTTTTCATTTGATGTTGGAGAAGACTGTTATATTAGTAGCGATAAAACTATCATAGTAATAAATAGAGCGTGATTATGTTTACATGACCGAAGAAATACGTATCGTGAATGATTAAAATATATATATTCTGCTTATTTGTCGATCAAAGCAAGGGTAATAATTTTTTATTATATCTTCGTTGTATGCAAACATGTTTGCAATGAGAACATTTGTGGCTTTATCCTTTGGTAATTAAACATATATTTTTTTATTGGTATATTATTGAGTCAGTCGTTGTTATACAAAGTAATGTATAAACATGAATCTTGTTCAATATGGAATTTGACTAATGTTTTCATCACCATAACATCTATCTATGTCTCCGTTAATTGATAAAAATAAGGTATGAAACATTGAATGTGAAGTCATGGAATATGTTTTTGTACATTGGATAGGGCATGCGAAAATGCTATGTAAAAATAAGTTATATATAGACATTCATTGATATTTTTATATTGTTTAGCACACGAATGAAGTTTGCCCCTACCTACTGAATCCCGCTCCCACTTTTGTGCCTTTGCCTGGAGCCCCTCTCCAAGATATGCGGTAAACAGACTACCGGTAGGCCAATCGCCATTCATGGCCCAGTGGGCGTAGTCCCACTGTGCCGTCGCGAAGTGCCAGGTTGATCCCACCGTCTCACTGCTCAATACGAGATTAGTTACACTGCGCTGTGCTAAGTACCAGGTTGGTCCTACGTCTCCCTCACCAAGTTTGTTCCACAGCCTGCCGTTGTGGGCCTGTGTCTGCAACTCATCCGATCGCCTAAGGTGCCCAAGCCCCCCCAAGTCCCGGGCCTCAAACTGTCTCTAGCCTCAAGCCGCCCCGAGCCCTGGGCATCGGTATCATCATGGTGCCACCTAGCTGCGGGGCCAAGGACCCACTGGCAGTCCCAGTGTGCAGCCAAAAGGGACTGATAGTCCCTGAAACTTTTTGCCGAGGACCTACCGGTAGTCCCAAGGGCCTGGTTCGGCCCCCAAGTCCTAGGCCCGGACCTAGCGTAATGGAATTGGTGGTTCCACAGGGACCTGATGGTGAGGACCGAGTCCCAAGGTCCTGGTGCGAAGGGCGTTGTTACTCTGCGCCTGCTGGGATCCTCTTGTTTAAGTTATGTACATTCATTTTCTGTTAAGTGATGTCTGGAGGTGAGGATTAGACCGGGGGGCACAATACTGTACTTGTTTTGGTGTACTCCTTGAGGTAGGTTCTTGGGTAGGGGCTTTGATTTTGAGTTGCCGACCACGGTTTCATTGACTCCGACGAACTCTTTCTTAGCTCGTGTTTTCCTATGCAGTGAAAATACTTGACTAATTCAAATGATTTTGAATAATTCTTGATTGCTTTTAGCCTATTTAGTAATATCATAAATTAGATTATTTTCATTCAATTTTAGCTGCAGTGAAAATACTTTTCCAAACATCACATGACTACGATTCACATATATAATGGACATTGGACCCAGTTTTCAACTCAACTCCGATAATGTTTTTATACAAAAATTTTATAATTTTTCTTTATAATTTCCCTTTTTTTTTCCTTTGACTTGTCATGTTTTTTTAATATTTAAACTATAAATGCCTCGCATAATCATCCGTGCGACCCTTGAAGCTACAGTCTCAGATACCCTGGCTGCGCCCCCGGGCCCCACGCGGTTCCAGTCCTTACCCAAGGCCCAAGCTTTTCCCTAGAAATGCGAATACCTTGACTCTATCCACAGCGAACTCTATTCAGAACTCAGCTCAGAAGGATTTCGGGTCCAACAGTCCCGTAAAAAGCATAAGCTGGCTAATGCTGCCAGTATTTCGACTGGGTTTGAAATGTGGGGTCCCCGGCCTCTCAAGATGTGTTCTTTTTTGAAATACATAAAAAATTTCAGGTGAAAAAAAAACAAAAAACAAAACAAAACCCATTGTGAACGAGGCACATGGGCCTACGACCTTACCATTCCCTCGCGTGGATTTCTACAGAGGGATGGCTCGGATGGGGAGTTCATCCGAGGCCAGGTGCCCTCCGCTATTTTCGTATTATTCTCTGCTTTGTTGATGTAAGCCTTCGGCACTGGGCCCGATTGAAACAAAAGTCCAGCAATCCCCCGCCCCCGAAAAAAAAGCTGAGGGAAAGAGGGCGCAGATCACGTTACACACCTATATGTATGGAAAGATCAGAGCGGTATCGAAAGAATGTCAACAAGGTTTGTTTGGAAAAAAAAAAAAAAAAACCTTAGCCAATAATGCAACCGGTCCACCACCGGCTGAAGCGATACGCTGACATGCGCACTGTTTCACAATGCAGGAACCCGAAACCACAAAATACATAATGAACGTGGACGCATTTGCGGTCATGCGCAGATCGACCAGCAAACGCAATCCATGCCCTTACAGACTGACGTCCCTGACTTCTCCTCGTTCACGTCGCCGGACGGCTTTCCCATCCCAAACCCCCCAGGCAACACCCAGAGAATGAAAGAAAGGCCCTCCACCGTCAACCTGTGAGAGTATGAGAGTATACTTGCACTCACACTACTACTACTACCGGTAGTAGGAGGCCGTGCAAAAATCGCAAAATCGCAAAATCAGCGGCCAGATCGAGTCCTTCCTTTTCCAAGGACTAGATCTGGCCGCTGATTTCACGATTTGCCCGTTTTGAGCGCCAAATGTGACTGTATTCCCCTTAGTACTTTCCCGCCGCCACAGCACACAAAAAAGATGTCGCACAGTTGCAGATACTACAACAACAACGCAGCTTGGCAGATTTGATTCCTCCTCATTATTGCGCGACTAGTCGTTATCGTGATCGCGTGGACGTGGGAGCCTAAGGCCTTGCGGAAATCGCCGGTCTCAAGGCTCCTCACTCTGTCGCGCCATCGCCCTTCGGATTTCCTCTTCTTGTTCTCTCACAGCATTTTGCGACGCCAGGCACGGGCAAGCTTTCGTGTTGCGTGTTCCCTGCGTCCCGCTTCTCTCGTGCTTGGACTAAGGCAGGCTACAGTCCGCGAAGATGCTTCTCTACACGGATATCTTCACTGGTGAGTTGAAGATGTCGCCTCAATGCGGTGCTACGTTTGTATATCAATGTATGAGGATATCTTCACTGGTGAGTTGAAGATGTGGCCTCAATGCGGTGCTACGTTTGTATATCAATGTATGAATAAAAAAGTTGTCCCATCATCTGGGAAACAATCATCCCTGTGCTACGTTTGTATATCATTTTTTCTGCAACTTTTTGTAAATACAATGCGTCGTAAAACACTCTTCTTTTGACTGCTGTGTCATAGTTTTGAAAAGGCGCAATTCGTCACAAGCACTGTCAAGCAGTTCCATGTAATTGTGCTTTCTAGCGACGGCTGTAGATGATTATGGATGAGTTGATTTTTTTTTATTTGGCGTAACATCCGTCGGGAAGTGAGTTTTTGTGGAGGCAGTCGATTTCACAAGCGTTCGTCGTTTGGACACGGTGCACATTTAAAATGATTCGTTGCTGATATCTGATCTTTCGCCGATTTCGGTGCGAGTTTGTGGATTGGAGCTGGAAGCACTTGAGAACACCCTGAAGAGGGGCACGGAATGCGGTTTCGCTTGTTGACACTTGGAAGCGCTTAATATTAGCATCCGATATGATGACGGATTTGTTTCTAACTCTTTGCTTTTAACTCTTATAAGGAGTAGTAGGCAGTTGTGATCTTATCTCCCAAATTTGGATGGTGCTGAATAATGAATAATCCGGTATGATGATGTATTTGTCGTTTTCTGCCTGCTCGTCGTTTTCTATGGACCGTGCATAAGTGTTCGAGATCGACGGGGTGTGGGGCCATTGGTTGTGCGCCGATCGCTGTTTTGCGATTGACTGTGTTCATGATTTCTTCCATGGAAATGTAGCAAGGAAATCCTGCGATAGCATGGAGTTGGTCATGGTGTGAACCCGTGTCAAGTGACTTTTTCGTTAAATGTGATTTTGCTTTTGTGAAATGTGTTTTGCTAACGTGACGAGATTGTACGTAGTAAGGATGATTCTTTTGCCTCTCTCTGTGTGTGTTTTGTCAAATTTGGTGTCGAAAACTTAGTGTCAATGCATACCACCGCCTGCCTTTTTTTTTTTTTTTTGGTGTTAATAACTTAATTAAATAGTGTTTATTGCATATCCCTTTCAATCAAGGAAGCTAAAAGCTTCTGAACGGTTCAACTGGGAAATATTGTTGTTGTTCAACTGCGTCGCAACAAAAAAATCGTTGTTGTTCAACTGCGTCGCGCGAGGAAAATATTTCAAACTTAATGACAGAAAAGTCAGATTGTTGGTCTCCGCCTCGGTAGCATTATCGAGTTGTTGTAAACACAAAAATATAAAAAAAAATAAATGACAAATTGTGAACTATAGGGTTTCGTTAACGAAAGGCGAGTGTCGACGGTGTGTTCCCTGACAGAGTTTTGTGTGTTTACATGTTTGTAGGGGACGAGCTCCTGTCTGACGTCTATCCTGTGGGTGAGAAATTCGATGGCGTGCTGTGGGAAGTGAAGGGGAAGGTAAGTGACCGAGCCTTGTCATTGCTTGAAAGCATGGGACCAAATCAGGCATTTCTTTTTTTGCCCTCCGTTCTATTGGTGAGGAGAGGCACCTGCTGGAGACCGGGTCTAGCGTTCCATAAATAAATATAATACAATAAGAATTGCAATTCCGAACAATCTGTAATTTTTCCGCCTAGGGTTAGGGCGACATGCATGGATTATTTCTCAACAGAGAAGGATTCACTTCTCGCCCAGTCTCTATGTACTAGGACTCAGCCTTTTATGTGTATAGTTCTCTATTCTTGACTACGTATGTACTTGTATATAGATGAGTTGTTGCTATACGTATGTCTCTCTCCATTCTCCCTAATCGACGATGCATTCATGCATGAGTGGCAGTCGTCTTCAGTAGCCACGTGTCTGCCCACGGGGGGGGCGAGTACCTCCCTTCTCTGTTATGCGGACATGTCTCCGCATTTTTTTTTTTTTTTTGTTTTTTTTTTTGAACTCCGCATGTTTTTTTTGTCTGTCTCTTTACCCTTCTTTCGCCAAGGGATCTTCCATTTTCTCCATTTGTCCTGGAAATTTCTGTGTGCTCCCCCCGTCGTCTACCAATCCTTTTTTCTTCGCGGCGGACAGTCCTGTTTTGATGCTCGTCTGCTCGAAAGGTGAATATAGCCGTTTTTTTCTGATGAAGATCGCTTGGCGAGTACCTCCCTTCTCTGTTATGCGGACATGTCTCCGCATGTTTCTTTTTTTTTCTTTTTTTTTTTTGCAACGCCGCATGTTTTTTTCCTGTCTCTCTCTTTACCCTTCTTTCGCCAATGGATCTTCCATTTTCTACATTTGTCCTGGAAATTTCTGTGTGCTCCCGACGTCTACCAATCCTTTTTTCTTCGCGGCGGACAGTCCTGTTTTGATGCTCGTCTGCTCGAGGTGAATATAGCCGTTTTTTTCTGATGAAGATCGCTGTGCTGCTGCCGCGTCCCAATGTAAGTCTTTATATATAAATGAAAAGAATCCCCTCCAATGCCTCGGAAGTATATCGACAGTCTTGCCTTCCCTGCCATCTTCTTTCTTCCTGTCGAGAGATGTACTTTTGATCTTGGTAGTGCTCGTTCACCCAATGGATGCCGCCGATTTCATTTATCGGGAGCCGTCGATTTCATTTATAGTGACTTCGATCATGGTTTCAATGCTCTTCAGTCTCTCTCTCTCAGCGCCGTTTTCTTGACTGCAGTATCATATCACTTTCTGTTTTCACATCATCTTCATTTCTTATCACTTTCTGTTTTCATATCATCTTCATTTCTCTCCTCGTCCTGGTTAATGATGCCTCCCTACTTCTCAATTTCTACATGTCCATATTCTTCTTTCTTTTTCAGCGCCATATTCCTGCTCGCAGCACATGTTCATTTCTCTCCTCTCCTTCTTGAAAGCCTCACGTCTTTACTCTCTATTATCGCCATATTGTTCATTCTTTCTTTAACATCCTTGTCGTTTCCCTGCTTACGGCCATCTTCAAGATCGTGGTGGTCTTTTTCAGGTATCCACGTCCTCCATATCCTTGGTGTTTCCCTTCTCCACCTCCTTTCGTCTTAAGTATCATGACGTCATTGTCCTTCATATCCTTGCTGTTTTCCTTCTCCACCTCCTTCCGTCTTAAGTATCATGACGTCATTATGCGGCTGTTCGTCCTATATTTTTCGTCGTTGGCTTGACGCTGCCTCTTTCGTCGCGCCTGCGTCAGAATCTTCTTCGTGATCTTTCCATGATTTGAACGCCGGTTTCTTGATGTTTCTGGTGGGGGGTCCGTGGGTGAGCGAGAGGCAGGAGAGGGGGCCATTGATTGTTCCGATGCACAGGCTCATCGCAGTTGGCCGCTGCATTTGGGACAACATCACCATGCCTGCCACCTTCTCCTCTTCCCGCCTGCGAATGTTATTCAAAGGGTCAGTACCGCTCCCCTCCGTTGACCCGTTCCGTTGACCCGTTCAACGTCGGGGTCGTCTTCTTTGTTGAATGTTCCGCTCATTCTCTCCTCCCGCCTTCTTTGCTTCAGCTTCGCTCGCTTACTCTATTGGCTAAATCACGCCATCGCTCTGTTCTTCTATTCCCCGCTACTTAATCAACGGATGCCATTGAATGACTCGTAGTAGACCTGATGCCACCTCTACTCTATCTTACCGCTCCCCCCCCCCCCCACTTCGTTTCCTTTTTCCCCCCTCGTTTCTCAATCTAGTGGAACTAGTCCCAATTTGGCAATGGTTGGGCGAAGGGCTCGTTCTGAATCTAGTGGAACTAGTCAGTGCTTTGCGTGGCGCACATAGAGCTCCCGCGTTATCAACAACAGCTTGAGGGCAGGGGCTGGGAGTTGTGGGGTGAAAGTGGTTTTGCGGTATTGGCATGCGAAGGTGGAAGTGGTTTTGCTTTATTGGGGTGTCGAGGTAACATTCCCTGTAATTATTTAGGTTTTGCTTTATTGGGGTGTGAAGGTAAGATTCCTTGCAATTATTTATAAGTTAATTGTGCAGATCGAGGTTAAGGTTCTGCTGCATGAATGAAGATCGTGGTTTGGAGAAGATGAATTAGTAAAAGGAAGATAGTTTGAGTGCGCTGTCCAAGGTGACAAGGAATACCTAAGCTCAGTGTGGGCGATGGACGGCTGTGAGTTGGGTGTGTGATGCCAGAGTGTATTCTGGACGCCTGCGTCGATGTAGTGATGAATAAGGTGTTGAGATCTTTCATGTTATTTTGTTTTAAGCGAGTTCGGGAGTGGGGTTGGGGGGGGGGGGCTTGGTGGGGGGGAGAGGGGTCGTGGATGGCTCTGAGTGAGGTCTTTCACATTATTTTGTTTTGAGTGAGCTCGGGGATGGCTGTGAGTTGGGTTTGTGATACCTGAGTTTATGCTCTGGAGATCTGGGTCGATGTGGCGATGGATAGGGTGTGTCGAGGTCTTGAAGGTTTATTTTTGTTTTGGGCACACCTGAATGAACAACGGACTTTTAACCCCCGCCGCCTCTAGAAGAATTTGGCTGACCCCTCCACATCGATGGTAAAAAAGAAACAAAAAAAAACTGAAGCTGTTGTCAGGTCGTCAATCGAACGGATCAACCGGAAAAGCGCTGCCCAGGGTTCAACCCACAGTTTGACAAGCACATGTTTGTTTCATTCTGTGCACAGCGATTCAAATCACCGCTCCGCTGTCCCCTCTGCTTGAGCATCCTCGAGCATGTTTAATTGACGGTTGTGATCAGAAAAGTAAAAAAAACAACCATGTGCTTGTCAAACTTTGATTTGAACATGGACGTATAGAAAAAACATGTGCCTGCTGTGAAACTGTCCACAGCCGTCCATGTGTACTTGCTGTTCAAGCCGCCGCTGCTCAAGCCTGGACAGCGATCGATTAATCCTCGAGGAGGCAGCGGTATCCAATCACCGCTGTCCCTGCTTGAGTCCAGCGGGTGCACATGTACGCTGTGGGTATCTTTGACTTTGTGGATGGGGCGCTTGATGAGAAAAAACGTGAGGACTATATTCCAAATGAAAGCATGACCTTCTACGGCCATTACTTTGGGGGACATGCATTAGTTTATTCATGTTCCGCCTAGCTCATGGAGAACCTTTTTGTTGTTGTTTGTGTTCAACTCCTGACTTACCTTCTTCACCCCAACACAACGCACGGTCATTATTACTGTATCTAGACTTAAAGTTGGCCCAAATGCAGCCTACAATGACGGTACGTTGTATTCGGGTGAAGACTGGAGGGAAGGACATCGTTCCGAATCCCGATGTGCTATTTTATTTGCTCGACGTTTACTACTTTTTGAATACCGATGTGTTGTTGTTTGTGTTAAACTCCCGACTACTTCACCCGAATACAACGCACGGTCATTATTACTGTATCTAGACTTAAAAAAAGTTGCCCCAAATACAGCCTACAATGACGGTACGTTGTATTCGGGTGAAAACTGGAGGGAAGGACGTCGTTCCGAATCCCGATGTGCTATTTTATTTGCTTGACGTTTATTACTTTTTGAATATGTGATGTGGTGTGAAGGGTACTATTTTTCTGTTGTGTAAGACTGATGTGCTATGAAGGACACTACAGTACTTGTAGAATACTGATGTGCTGTCAAGGGTACAACTATTTCTAGAGTACTGACGTGCTGTCAAGGGTTGTACTTTTTAGTTTTCAAGTACTCCAATGTGCTGTGAAGGGAACTTTTTCAGAAAACTGATGATGTGTTGTGAAGGGTACCACTTGTAGAATACTGATGTGTTGTCAAGGGTTCTTTTTTTTTCTTTTTGTTTTTTAAAGAAAACTGATGTCATGTTTTTCGTGATCGGCACTTGCAGTGGATTGTGAAGGGGTCAGTTGATGTCGATATTGGGGCCAACCCTTCAGCAGAGGGAGGTGATGATGAGGGAGTGGAGGATGGTGCAGAGAGGGTTGTCGATATCGTGGACAGCTTCCGGCTTCAGGAGCAGCCCTCCTATTCGAAGAAGGATTTGCAGGTTTTTCTGAAGGGGTACATGCAGAAGCTGCTGCCTAAGCTTTCAGCAGAGCGCGCGACTAAGTTCAAGGCGAACGCACAAGAAGCCGTCAAGTATGTTCTTGGCAAGGTCAAGGATCTTCAGTTCTTCCTTGGTGAGAGCCTCAGCGCTGATGGGGCTATGGTCTTTGCGTATTACGAGGATGGTGCTACTGATCCGACATTCCTTTACTTCTCAGATGGATTGAAGGAGGTGAAATGCTGAACACGTTGTTGTTATTTTTTTCCACTCGTGAACGTGGAAAGAGATAAACGGTGACTTCCTTTCTTTTCTGTTTTCGCCTTTCCCCGCGATGTATTATGGCCCTTTATGCTGGATAAAGGGGGTAATGCGAGACTCTTGTTAAAATCCTCCCGTTGTAAGAGGACGTTTGTAACGATGCACACTCTCCGGTACGTGTTTTGCGGTCGATCTGTGGTGGATCTGAGGTGGATGTGTGATCGTGAGCCAGTGTCTTATCTGTGATGCGAGACTCTTGTTAAAATCCTCCCTTTGTAAAAGGACGTTTGTAAAGATGCACACTCTCGGGTCCGTGTTTTTTTGCGGTCGATCTGTGGTGGATGTGTGGCAGATCTGTGTGGCGTTTCGCGTGAGCCATTGTCTTGTCTGTGATCGATCTGTGGTGCATCCCTGTGCCATTTCCCGTGAGTCAGTGTTTTATGTTTGTCGTGCACTCGCTATGACAACGGGCACGCCGGGCAATGTGATGACATTGTTGACTCCGTATCTTCTCCCTTTCCCTCTTGCAGTGATCCATATGACAAAACCTGGGCTGGCTATTTCTCATTGTTGTATGGAGTTGTCTCAAAAGCGTACCATCACCTTGGAACTGCTGATCGATTGCTTTTTCCAAGGTGCGCAGACAAATGCCTTCTTCTGTGGAGTGTGTGCTTTCAAGTTCTTTGTGGATGTGATGGTTACCATTGTGCATGCGGGGTGAATGTTTTGTTGACATCACCCTCACCCAACTCTGTACTCTGTGGACCAACTGTGTCGTAAATGTTGATCTCTTGGTGATCTGTGCTGTTGGGGTCCCCTCACCCAACTCTGTGGACTAAATGTTGCGACTTTTTTTGTGAGGGCTGTGTATTTGTGACTCTTTTCGTCACACTTGTCTATTTGTCACAGATCTGCTGATAGAGTTTGCTCCTCTTCGTACCAAATTGCACTCCCCCTCTCTAAACGTATCAAATTACGATCAAATACCCCCCTCCCCCCCCTTTAGACTTGAAATCCAGTTTCAACGCTCATTTGCACTCCCCCCTGTAAACGTACCAAATTACGAACAAATAACCCCCCCCCCCCCCCCTAGAGTTGAAATCCAGTTTTAACGCTCAGGAAAGCACCATGGCTTGGAAACTTCAAAATTTATAATTTGTCGTAACAAGACTCTACATAGTATATACTACATATAAATATATCCTGAGAAAAAAGAAAAAAGAAAAGGGAAAATATGTTCTGTGGGATGGTAATTGGATTATCTGTGGAATGTGTCACTTGCTTCGTCTGTTTAATAGGCTTTCTTCTTCTGTGAGGTTTGGTTTCCTCCGCCTTTTCTTTACCTCTTTGCCTTTTGCTTCGTCTGTTTAATAGGCTTTCTTCTTCTGTGAGGTTTGGTTTCCTCCGCCTTTTCTTTACCTCTTTGCCTTTTGGCTGCGTGCAAGTGGGTCTTAATGACACACGGGGATGGGGGCAGCCAGCGCTCAACCTGTCATCCACGTGGCTGACCTTGTACGTAAGAGGTGACGAACAGGTGGGGCTTTCCTTCCTTCTTTTCTTTTTCTTGTTCTGTCTTTTTCCGCCTTTGCGCTCCGATTTTTACTGTGACAATATATATATCCGTTATAGACGACTCAACGATTACCGAACTACCTCTTGTGGAACTCGGCATTTTACTAATCAGTCGCTCGCTGAATGCCCAGATCAGAAAAGCTATTCTGAAAGAATTGCTGCTGCAAATCAGGCATAACTTAGAATCTCGACAAGTACATGAATCTGCCAAGCGAATTCAAAATTCTCAGTTTGATAATTGTGGGGGTCATTACACAGATCTCCGGTCAGTGGGTTTGGCAATGGGTTGACCCATCAATGCTGTATACCCCCCTGTCTCATCGTCCTCTTTCTTCCGTTTTCTTCTTCTCATTTTCCTCCTTTTCCTTCTTTCTCTGCGCCTTGCTCCTCCGCTTTTATTTCCTCTTTTGCTGCTGCTTCGTCTTGTCCCTCTCCTTCTGCTTCTGCTCCGCTTTTTCTTCCTCTTTTGCTGCTTCTTCCTCTTCTCTCTCTCCTTCTGCTTCGGCTCCGCTTTTTCTTCCTCTTTTGCTGCTTCTTCCTCTTCTCCCTCTCCTTCTGCTTCTGCCGGTGCTTGTTTTGGTTGTGCTGTGAGTGGAAGTCGGGGCTATATCGTGGACGTTAATGGATTAGTGGACGTTTCATCGAGGGCGAGCTGTCAAATTTTGCACGCAATGTCTACCATGCAGAGGCGGGTTGAGTTGGCGATGTTCTGTGATGCAGAGAGTGGATGCAATGTTCCAGCTGTTCTTTTCCGCCTCTGATGAACAATGGAGCGAGTCTCCGAACGAATACATGTTTCTTTTTTTTTATTTTTTTATTTTCATTCCATTTCATCTCCTGATGGTCCTTTCATCTAATCGCTGTGATGGAAAAGGAACGAGTGGTGGAAGAAAATATCAAAGAAGCAAACAACCATATAGAGTGCTGCAAATAACTAAAATATAGAACAGTGATTGTTGAAAGGGTCAACAATCATAGAGTGCTGCAAATAACTAACAAAATATAGAACAGTGATTGTTGAAAGGGCCACTTCACTTTGTCTGAACGAACTCCCATTGGCACCGTAATCGTTAATGGCTTGTTATTATTTCCGCCAGCCCAATGCCAGCTTGTCATTAGGCCCCGTTAGTTGGGCATCACCTTTGTTCTTGCCTCCGATAGAATAAAGAATGTCCTTATTGCCAGCGGCAGAGGAACGTGGCCTTCGTGCTGTCTCTTGTACCCACTCGATAGCAATCTGCTTGTTCTTCACTTATGAATCACTTATGTCTTCTACTTGTTCTTTGTTCTTGCCTCCGATAGAATAAAGAATGTCCTTGTTGCCGGCGGCAGAGGAACGTGCCCTTCGTGCTCTCTTGTACCCACTCGATAGCAATCTGCTTGCGCAAATCTTTTCTCAATCTTCACTCCCCTTCCGTTCACTGTTGTCCTCCCTCCGCCTCAGCCTTTTCTTCTTCACGACTTGCCTCAAATCTCTCCTACTTGTTGTTTCGTTTACCTCATACATCCACCACTATATGATATGGGTACATTGAATTTGTATTCGGTTGCACTCCTTTGTTTTTTAGTCTAATTTATTAGACACCGAAGAAACATAATCAGTGAAAGAGACAGCTTCCACAACAATAGGCATAAAGGCATGATTGGTACCACAAAGTTCACTACATTGACCATAGTAAACTCCTCGTTTGATAAAGATGGAAGTCTGATTTAAACGACCAGGTACTGCATCACATTTGACGCCTAAGGAAGGTACTGCTCACCTGTGAAGTACATCTGCCCTATCTTGCCTGTACCTGACCGGAAATATTAGTGCTCTACTAACGAGGGTGTTTCATACCTACCGTCTCACCCCGAACACAAAGCACCTTGCCTGTACCTGACCGGAAATATTAGCGTTGATACGTTCGGGTGAAGACGGTAGATCTGCAGGGATGACGATCCTGGATGGAGAGTAGAGGCAGGATCCATCTCAGTGTGTTTCTCGAGTGTAGTCATGGCTGCGCATAGAGAACACGGGGTTAAAAACTCACGGGTAAACTGCATTTCTTGGTTTCATAGACTACACGGGGGTAAAAATTCACGGTTAAACTGCATTTCTCGGTTTCATAGACTACACGGGGGTAAACACTCACGGTTAAACTGCATTTGTCGGTTTCAAATACTACCACAACTACAAATTTTATGGCCAGCTAAAACAATAAACACGTTCCTATGCCATCAAAGACCACAATATCTCCTATGTCGGTTTAAGGCTTATCTATTGTCGATATGGATAGCTTATCTATTCACAGCGCCCGGCTCTCAGTCATAGGCTGTGGCATGCCGATCTGCGCAGTGACGATGACTCCGGATGCAGTCGGGATGAAGTCCTGTTCCACTGTAGCGTAGCCCTTCGGCCGTCATCCCCTACTATCAAATATATACCTCAATGAACTCGATATCCGTGAAAATAACAAGGCTTCAAGAGCCAGATGGAGAGCACATCCACACGTGCAAACGCCTGGAGTCCTGGACGCATTGCACCGTCTGCCTGCCTGCCTGCTTGCCTTCCAGGACCGCCTGCCTGCCTGCCTCTGCTTCCCTTTGCAAAACTTAGTGGAAACGGAGGAGAATCCCTGACTCGTCACATAGCCGGGCAATAGCAGAAGACCTATCAAGCAAAGCAATCCTTTTTATTCATTTAAAGAGGGTAAACTCGAACCCCCGACATTATTTTTAAGCAGCAGGACTTGAACCCTCGACCTTTCTAGCAGCAACTGTGTGCGTGAATATGTCAGGCTTGAGGCAAGGACGCTATCAAGCAATCCTGTGTGTGAGGTACAACCAGAGAGGTATATAATCCAATCGTAGAACTACCGTCTTCCCCCGAACATAACGCACCCTAAAAATAAATGTATACAAGCTATATTTCCGGCCAGATACAGCCCAAATAAGGGTGCGTTCTGTTCGGGGGAAGACGGTAGTGAAGATCACTTCACCCTTCGCTACACTTTCTAGCTTCGAAGGGCTCTAGACATTCCTGTGCGGGTGAATTGTTTTTGCTGCGTGAATCATTTGAAGGGCTCAATTCGTAGCTATGAATGGGAATGACAACTGTGTTGTGTCCGTGAATCGTTCTTGTTGCTAATCAATGGCATTTGCGGAGGAACAATGGTTGCTGTCATGGCCCACGCCACGATTCACTTCACACAGCGATGATGTGTTTCGGGACGATACAGTCCTCTTTCCCGAGAACGCTACACAGCACGATATTCCTCGTAAGAACCATCTGCGCATCTCTGCTGAACGTTATTGCCCTCGCCGCTAAGGAGAGTATTATACGGATGGGGCATGCCCACTTCACATACACCTTGTGCTTTCCTCTTGGGCTGTGATAACACACACACACACACACACACACACACACACACACAGACACAGTTAACATACACCTTGTGATTTCCTCTTAGGCTGCGATAAAACACACACACACACACACACACACACGCACGCACAAACACACAGAGAGTTAACAGACACCTTGTGCTTCCCTCTTGGGCTGCGAGAACATATGTGCCGCTTTGGCGGCAGATGGGTGTGCGGGCACTTGGCGCTGAACCACACAAACGTGGCCAACCTTGCATTTTCTATTATATTAGCTTTCTCTGATTTGTGGGGGAAAGAGAGATAATTTGGTGTTATTTAACAACACACACACACACGCACACACACACTACATGGCTGACAATGGCAGTCTGTATGGTCTTATGGGATCTTTCCTTTCCTCCATTTATATCCCCAACATGTGTTTTGTCGTGGGTATGTTGTGGGCGTAATGCTCTTGCAAATAGTCGCAGTGACACTTCCATCAGAATAATTCAGAATTCCCTGTCATTATACACGCCATTCGTCACACGCCTTCCTTCCCTCCCGTCCCCCCCCCCCTCTTTTTACTGCCCGCTCATCTGTGATGGGCCTTATGTATTTGTCGTCCTGGCATGTAGTCAAACATGATATTTTGAACCCGGAATGGAATTCAGTGCTGGCA